AGACCATGTTGTGATTGATGAACCTGACTTGACTCCTACCAAGACTGACTCAGATCTCACTGCACCACAGCCAGTAAGGTGGAGGCGCTCTGACAGAGAAAGACATCCACCTGAGAAGTTTCCTTATGAGGAAGTAGGAGAGCCGCTGACCTTGGCTATTAGCTCCTTTTCTCAAACCTCAGCTGTTGCATTCTCCACAACTGTTACTCCACCACGTCCACATTGGTCAACGATGCATGATGGGACTCGCCCGGTGGCGCCAGTGTCCGGCAGCCTGGCCTCTGTCAGTGCGCCCCAGGGCAGCTGTGGCTACAATGTAGCTGCCATCACCAGTGTGTGAATGTGTGTGTGAATGGGTGGATGACTGAATGTAGAGTAAAGCGCTATACAAATGCAGGCCATTTACCATTTAAGTCGTGTGGAAATGCGGAGAGTCTGTGAGCTGCATTCACAAACAGGTTGGATCACTCTGAATGACAGCGATTAGAGGAGGGTCTTCCATCAGTACCAAGCTCTGCTGATTTTCATTAATAAAACTTAAACCTGCTCAGTGAAAAACAGAGTGAAATCAGACAAGACTGAGTCCACTTTTAACTTTGTTTCGTCAGATTTAACAGGAACTCATCTGAAGATCAGCCTCCTCCCTGTACGGGGAAAATTCCTATCAAGTCTCCACCTGTCCTGCTTCAGGTGAAGCCCCGCCTCCTTCCAGGAATCACCTGTGTGTCTGTGTTTAGTGTGCAGCTGTGGAGCTTGTTGTTGGTGTGTGAAGAAGCTGTAAGTTTGCTTTGTTTCCTCCTTTAACAGTTTGTCTTTAGGAACTTTATGAGCAGATCAGGAAGTGAGACGTTTGTATTTACATAAAATAAAACCAATGAGATGATTTGATGATTGGCTGAATCCACTCTGGTTATCAGTCAGTAACTCTGCACTCAAACATTTGTCTTTGATAAACAGTTTAAAACGATCTGAATGAAACTTTGGATCCAACATCACTGGTGGAACAATGATCGTCCCTTTAACTGGAAACAGATGAAACCAGTTTGTTCTTCAGAAGCCGACATTCAGGTTTTACTGAGTGACGTCAAAACAACATGAAGCTGCTCCAGCTCAGTTCAGGGTCACTGCAAACAGAGATAATCAGAAGTAAATACAGACTCTCTCACACACCATCAATATTTCAGGATGTTTTCACTGCGGTTTAAATCCTACATATACTTGATGTTGATGCAGGAGTAAAGCCTCTCAGAATCAAACACATTTAAGCCTCTGTGACTCAGGACTGTGTGAAGTGCACAATCGAACACTTTTTAATCTGTTTCAAGTTAAACACAATGAAGTGTTCAAAGTAGAAACATGTTACTATGTGAATCCTGCTTGATGGACCAGAGCAGAGCCTCCCTCTGTGCTCTGTTCATCACTCTGTCAGTCTGAGTTATTCATGAAGCACAAGCAGCTGATGATAAGCTGGTTAATGTTGGCACACACACACACTGTGACACTGTCAGACATGAGGAAGTGTGCAGGTAAACTCTGCTCAGAAATGACAATGAGGAGGTACACAGACTGATGGAGCTCATAGAGTGAGACGTTTATTTTACATGAAGTAAACCTGATGTATGACCTGATCTGTAGATCAAACTGATGTGTTTAATAACCTGTTGTTTAGGGTGGGCGATATGGCCTCAAATCCATATCACGATATATTCTTCTGTATAACATATTTTCCACACTTAAAATCCTTTAATTTCCTCAAAAATCGAGACTGTGCCTTATGTATGAATTCTGGTTGTGCTTACTGACCTCGAACCGATTTTGGCTGCAGAAATCTGTTAAAAATGTTTTAGTACAACTTTGGTAAGCAGCACTGCTTGATGGATCGTCAGAGCATTACGGCTGCCGTAGTGAGGAGCTTCACGGAGAATCTGGGTCCAAACTCCGACAGCTTCAGGTACCAAAGTCAAACGAACACAAAGAGTTAAAAATGGTCTAAATTCTTTCATCTTTAATTAAATCATCAGCGTTGCTGCTTTACCAGGTGTAACAATTAAGTTTAACATCCAGGTAGGGCTGCTCAATTAATGGAATTTTAATCTCGATTACGATCTGGGCTTTCAACGATCATTAAAAATGACTGAGCCGATTATTAGCCCTCCCTCGTGCTTTACTCTCGCGCTGCTCCGTGTGGCAAATCAGCGCACCTCTCTGCATTTCGAACACGTGTCACAACAATTAAGAGCAGCGGCCTCCGACCTTTTTGCTCCACGGACCGGTTTATGCCGGACAATATTTTCACGGGCCGGCCATTAAGGTGTCGCGGATAAATACAACAAAATAAAACTAGTGCCGGTACCGAAAAAAAGATTTATTCATAACACACGTGAAAAGACCCAGGAAAACCAAGTAAACGATAAAAACGATAACAAAATAACATGGAAAACCGATAAAAACCCTGAAAACTATACATTTCACACCTGAGCCTCAACTCTCGCGGCCCGGTACCAAACGACTCACCGACCGGGACCGGTCCGAGGCCCGGGGGTTGGGGACCGCTGATTAAGAGGACCCGAGGGAAGCTCGGAAAGCTAAGCAGAAGTTATTTGGAGAGGAGAGTGACTGCTGCTGGTTGAAAAGAGGTAAAAAAACTTCAGTGGTTTGGAAACATGGGTTCAGTCAGACGTGGATCAAGTAGACTGTGTGTAAACTTTGCTACGGTGTCATAGCTGCACCACAGAGCAACACTGCAAAGTTCACTAAACATAGATGTTTACATTTTTCATTTATTTTTTATATTGCAAACATTTGCACTGTTATCAGTATTTGCACACTATTTAATATTATTTTTTGACAACCTTTAAAGTCATTATTCAACACATTGTTATTGTTAAATAAATATTGTCAAATAATTGAGATCTCAATTTCAATGAAAATAACCGTGATTATCATTTTTGCCATAATCGAGCAGCCCTACATCCAGGCATCCATGAAAACAGAATTTATTCAATTTAACGGAGTTAGAAGTTAACAGGAAGTTAGCTCGCTAGTTTCCACCTAAACATTTCATAGCATATTCTGACTGAGAGATTTTTGAAACTAATTCAAACGTACAGCTCTGCTATCACTTCCAACATAAATGAAGACTAAACAGCAGTGGCGTTTGCAGGGTTACTGAAGTTGGACTACCTGGTATATAATGTTGTGCTACATGACTGCTAGCGACACAGCTATGTTAGCATAACATTAGCACAGTGAAGCTGGAGGATGAACGCCAACTTTTTGGCTTTCCCCATATTTCAATAGTGCTTCATCTCTTTGCTGTGACTGTCGCCCGCCATAATTGCAGATGATAATTGTTGTAGCTGCTGCGATGCTTTCGACCAAAACAGGCGCAGCTTGATGACATCATCAACATGCGGTATAGTCACAATCTCTATCGTTGGCCAAATTTATATCGTTTCTATCGTATATCGTTTCTATGGCCCACCCCTACTGTTGTTACTGTTGATCAGCTGAGATCAGCTGTGCTACAAACTGGAACTCTGCTGAACTGGATTTACTCGTTTCGTGAACTTTTAAGAACGAATGCTTCCTTGGCTGAAAGCAGTGAACATAATTTAAAAAACAGCTTTACTTGCACATAAATCTGTCAGTAAAGTCTGGATAATAAATTCTGGTGGTGTTATAGGTTCTCTTGGTCAGCTTGGTGTTGGTTTGGCTCCTGCATAAAACAGTTTGCTCTCATATTTGACACTGACAGGAACAAAGAGTAAAAAACACGACAACCAAACTAAAAAAGAGAGACGAGTTAAAGCAGAAGATATTTTGTGTGTCAGAACATGTGATCCTCACCAAGAGAGAAAAGCTCTGATTATTGTTGCTGAACTGTGATGGTGAACAGTCTCCTCTGTTGATCCCAGTGTGACTGAAGTCCGTGTGATGAGTGAGGACTGAGCCTGTGTTGGTCGATCGTCTCTAAACAGGATGTGAAGCATCAGTTCAGTCGTATTAAAGCCCTGAATAAACAGTCCTTCTGGATCCACTGTCTGTGTTTGGCTCCTCATCTTCAAAGACTCAACACAAGATGTTGGTCACATCAACATAAAACACAGGATTTGCTGCAGATGTTGAAGTGTGTTCTCCATATGAGAGAAGCTGCTGATCGTGTTTGTATGTTAGACCTGTAGGATCGATGAACAGCTCTGACTCAGTTCACTAACCAGGCTCAGGGGAATAACTGGGATATTTCCCCAACAGAGACGTCCTGCTGGGATCGTTTTCCTGCTCTACACTCTGGTGTTTCTGCTCAAAAAACAACAAAATGAATTTCCATGAGCCTACAGATCGTGGACTTCTTTGAGAAACTTAAAGAAGACGCTTTTCTTTCCTTAGATTGAACTTAAACAAAGGATTTGAGGAGCAGAAAAGTTTTAAAGAGAAATTAAACATATTAATAAATATTCTGTTTATTTTACGTTATTTAGGTGTTTAGGTTATTTTTCTGTTTCTGTCACACGTCTGCTCTCGAGTCGTTATCAACAGTGTATCAATGCATTCCTGTGGGTGGAGACAGAAACACACACCCAAAAAGAGCTCAGAGCAAGAATAAAAGAGGAGGAGACAGGATCAGAGTGGGACAGTGGAGCTTGTTGTTGGTGTCTCTGTGTGAAGAAACTGTAAGTTTGCTTTGTTTCCTCCTCCTTTAACAGTTTGTTTGTTTCTGTGATGTTTGGACCTGATGTTCTCCATCACACCGACACTCTCTCTCCCCTCTGTTACATATGTGACAGAGGGGAGAGAGTCTCTCACTCAGAGAACCAAGGTTACAATGTAACCACACGTTCAGCTCTTGTGTTTGAATCCTCATGATTATAGATTATTGATTGGCTGGAATCAAACAGTTTGAAGAACATTTATTCGTGTGGCAGTTTCAGCTGCTGCTCACAAATCTGATAACAGGAACAAGTTAGTTCCACGAGGAAGACGTTGTCTGGGCGCGTTGGCCTCGTCGGTCATGTGACCGTGTTACTGTTCGGGCTCAAACTGATACGAGTGGTTTAGCAGGTGTGACAGGACGATGCTGCACAGCCTCATTGTTCAGGTGTGAGTCAGACTCTGAGTCTTTATACAGTCCTGTTTAACAACATGTTGTTCCTGTTGATGTGTCACAGAGATCAGCTGTGCTAAACTCTGCTGCGTGCAGCTACTAGTTTCTCTAGTTTGGTGATGGAAACGTCGATGAGACTGTTTCCATCACCAAACATCACGAGGAACACCTCTGACTCTGATTCTGACTCTGTGCATAAAACCACAATTATCCCTTCATGTCTGTTCATCTGATTCTGTAACGTGAGAAACTTTGATGTCTGAATTTTGAATCATTAATCATTAAAGTCCAGACTCGTAATTCTTAGAGGTTGGACTCAGCAGACGCTCCATAACACAACATCATCACAGTCCTTCAGTTATGATTTCATATGATTGAGTTTTGAGTGTTACAGTGATGTGTTTTCATGTTGTTGCAGGTCTCTGAGTGTGAAACCTGTCAGTTAAAACGAAGATCTTTCACTTCATTTCCCTCACTGCGTTTCAAGACCTGATTTTCTGATTTTCATGCGCTCACTTCCTGTGTTGTGACAAGTTAATTATCCTGAGTGCGCACTGGGCAGGGAGACTCCGCCTCCATTAAAACAAACTAGATGTGGAAGTAGTGACGTTTTAGTTTAGTGCAGACGTGAGAGATGAGTGTCGTTACATTACTGTTCATTTTCTGTTACAGCGTTTATTGTCCACACGTGTGATCAGACAGGATTATTTCAACGATCTCATGTTTATTTTATCCTCCTGTAACTTTATGAAGAGCTAAACCTTCACCACTAGTTAGTCCTCATAAGAACTGTTTGTGAGCTAAGAATCAACAATGACAAAGACTGTGAGTGTCATGCAGTGACTCCTCAGAATTAGGCTGATTTTTAAGTTTTGTGTCAATCAAAGCTAGAAGCTGGTGTAGCGTTGAGCTTTATTGTTGATTAATTAAAAAAATATATGTAAAAGAAAAAAGGACTAGATGTGTTTTCTGTCTTTAGAAAAAGGTAAAATTGGTTATATTTTGTTGGGCTAATTCTGACCAATCGTGACAGTCCAGAACTTTTCCCTGCTGCTGTATCCTGTAACAATCAGTGTTGGGACTAACGTGTTCGTAAATAACGCGTTAGGTGTGATGATAACGCCAACTGATTTTAGTTTTATGATTCCTGGCTCCCATCTATGAGGTTTCTCATGTTTGTAAAAGTTACCTCATCATCCTCAGAGTCATCCTCCTCAACTGGCTGCTACTTTATGAAAACCATGTGTAACACCTGCACATGTGTTTGAAAAAACAAACGCTTTGATTTTGACACCCCAAGAAATCTCCTAGATCTGCACGTGTTCAGAGTAAGAGCAGAATAAACAGCAGCAGAAGCTGATTGATGAACAGCTGAATGACATATCAGCTGTAGCTGCAGCATCTGCACAGAGTTTGATTGGCTAACGCTGATTTGTTTGTTTTTTTAAACAGTACAGCAGAGAGAGAGAGAGAGGAGATGAAGAGTGCAGCAGATTGATGAGACAGTGAAGAAGAGGTGAGCATCTGACAGAGCAGAGCCAGTTTAAAGGAGCCTCACAAGCTCACACATGACAGCTTCATCAACATGGAGCTCTGAGTGTTTATTAAAGGATCATTGGACGCTCTGACACAGCTGACTGCAGCCTTTAGCTGTGAGCACACAGTGTCTCACATTTACATTCACTTCCCTGTCAAACTCAGTAACTTTAAACAGCTGCTGTTATCAGGTGAAGATAGCAAAGCTTTCAGGGCTGAGCCCCAGTGTTTCAGGATAATGGCCCCAGAGACCACAGTCACATATGTGGGGAAGGATTTTAAGTTTAAAACTTCCTTTAAGCATTAACAGCAGAGACGCACAAAGTCGCAGACAGGGAACAAAGTATTTTAGGTTTGTATTGTCAGATTATTTAATCATTATACTGAACAAATATGTGAAAAAGTAAAAACCTCTATTATGATGAGGTTATCACTACATTCACATGTCATCGATGTGTTCTTTCACACAGATCAGTTTCAGTGTGTGTGGCCCGTACACTAAACCATGACACAAATTCATATGATGTGACACCCAGACTGTGTTCACTGTTTCTTTTGGTAAAATCATCTTCTCGTGTTTTTATAGAAAGATGATGGAAGAACCTAAAGAACAGCCAGCCAAAGCAGCTCCATCAGCAGGTAGGAGATCAGTGCTTTGTATGATGAGACGTATGGATGTATAGACTTCAGGCAGATTCTTTTTTGTAACGGTGATAAGTACATGAAATTCACGAGTTGTAACCTGTCCTAATCTTTGCCTTAATCTTTCTGTGGGACATTAATATAACATGAGAACTTCCAGTCTAAGGAGTTTGGCAGAGAAACAACTGGACCTTTTTGTACTTTGAACCCACATATGAGGTTCAAACGATGCCACCTTAAAATGATACTGAAGAAATATTGAAACTGAAACAAATGTATTGAAAGTGAAATGATAGTGAAAAAACATAAATATAGAAATTTAAAGAAAAACTCACTGTTCATGTGGTTTTCACACTTACATCGTTTTTTTCCACGTACAGTTATTTTTTCAGCTTCAATTAGTTGGCACTGCTTCGGCATCTGAGGGTGCGCTTGAGGGGCGGGGCTTCAGAGCCACATATATGAGCCACATATGTTTGCGCACATTATATTGCTGACCAGTGACTGTAGAAATCATGGACGACCTAATATCTGCAGCAGCCGCAGTCATGAAGAAACTTGCGTATCTCTGAACGGCACATAGAGCGGGGACGCTGAGAGGAGGTCCAGCGTTTACCGACTGTTTCAAACTGACAGACTCAGGTGTTCTTCAGTGTCTGCCTGACAGAAGGACCTGAGAGCCGCCACAATATTTTTGGTAAGTGAAAGGTGTTTGTAAGCTAATCTGTAGCTAACATCCTTAGCTAGCTAGCTAAGATGGGCACTCGGCTATCAGCAAAACTTGTTTTGTAAAGTTTGTTTAGCTAACCCGTGCAGGTGAACGAAATGAGCAGAAACGCACCGGGGCTGCTCAGTCAGTAACTAACCACAGTTACTGTACTTTTATTATGAGTATTACACTGTAAGAGCAACAGGCTGCACTCTGCTGCAGCTCCTGTGCAGAGCTGATTATTCAATATGTGCAAACAGCAGCATGTTTTCACTCTTTTGCCACATCTGTAAGGATATTAACACATATTTTAAAAAAGGCTTGCACTTTAGTAACCCCTCATTAATCATTAATTACAGATTAAATAGCAATGCCTAATATTTATGTACTCAAACCAAATACTTCTGCTTGGCAGCTTAAGTTAAAATGTGTGTTTCATTTTTCCTCGGATTACATTTTTAGCACTGACTCTGTGTATTGTTTTTACTAAGTTTGTTTCAAATATTCAGGTTAAATAAAACAGTCTGAATCATTCTTATTGAGGTAAGTTCACAAAGTTACATGTGCAGTACAGCTTACATCCTTTGAGAGGGAAAAAAGCATTAATATTTGTTATGATACCTCTGTATGTTGGTGACCACGGTGCAGCAGCAGACTGAACCAGGACTGAAACCTGCTCCGTCTGCTCATGTATGCAGATTCACATTCACAAAGCACCAACAACTCAAAGGTTAACATTATATTGGAAAATCTGTTGGTATATACGGCTTTAAGAAATAAACAGCTCGTATGTGAGCAGAGCTGAAGAACTAAAGAAATGTAAGAGAAGAACTTCAGATCCTGGGTGTGTGAGGACAGAAGGATCAGCTCTATTTCAGATTTGAGATAAACTTTATATTTCAGTTTGTGATGGTTCTGTTCTCTTTGTGATTACAGGAGCTGATTCAGACCTCAACACCACCCAGTGACAGCAGACAGATCATCCAACATGTTCACATGTTAACTGCAGAATGAACTGATGCAAACAGTACAAAGGTTAAAGCACCACATGTGCTGTAGTGAAAGCTGCAGCTGTTTTATGGTTAAAAACAAAGTCAAAAGGATTAATCACCCCTGTATCATATGAATGTTGGGTTTTTCTCTGTATCTGTTATTGTACGATCTACTGTACAATATAAAGCACCTTCAGGTGACTGTTGTTGTGATTTGGCGCTATATGAATAAAATTGAATTAAATTGAAATGTAACTGTGTCACTATATATCAGCATTAACAGGACCTCAGCTTGGTGTTTCACAAAGCTGCTGATCTCAGACCTGCACAGCTTCCGTTTTAAACACTGAATGTACTCAGCTGCATGAAGAGCACGTTTGAGTTTCTCTGACACAATTAAATAAAAACTGATGAAGGTCAAAGGTCGTCACTTGTATGTCGAACTACAGACTTGTCATCTGGAATTCTTTCACAGTTTGCAAATTTGCAAATAGTGTGTTATTTACCATTAAGTGATTCAGAGTCATTCATACCAGAGTAACCAGAGAGGATCATATATTTTTAAATATATAACTATCCACAGGACTGAATATAATATCTCTAAGTAAAAGTCCAGAGACTCTGAGGATTATCCAAGTATTTATAACATTACACAAAGCAAAGTTCTCCATCACACAACGCTCAAAAAGAGATTTCTACGCAGAGTATGCATCATTCTCAGACTCCTCTCATACTGCCAATAAACTCTTCCAGCTCCTCCTCCCCTCCAGGAGGCGCTACAGGAGCCTTCAGACTAAAACCAGCAGGTTTAGGAACAGCTTCTTCCCCACAGCTGTCACCCTACTGAACTCAGTCCCCGCTGAGCCTTTCCATCCACACTCACCTAACCCTTCTACACTCCTCCCCCAGTGACCATGATCCTTTCATTATCAACATTCACCACGTTGGTTACTGCTGTAGTTTTAGGACACTGACATGGTGTAGTCTCTGTTATAGTGCCTACACTGTTATAGTCTGTTCAGAGAGCTACGCTTCCACTACTGTAGATATTTTCATAGCACTCTGTAGATCTGTTTACCTCACAGTGCTTCATCTTTATATATGTATATTTGTTCATAGTATACCTGTATACTTGCCCGTCTGCAGAGGTGGGTAGTAACGAGTTACATTTACTCCGTTATATTTACTTGAGTAAGTTTTTGGAAAAAAAATTTACTTTTAAAGTACCCTTTTTGCACGATACTTTTTACTTTTACTTGAGTACATTTGTGAAGAAGAAACGGTACTTTTACTCTGCTACATTTCCAAAATTTGACTCGTTACTTTTTAAAAAATAATTAGTTTAACACATTAGATAACATGCCGCCAGTGGAGTTTGCGGTAACTTTTTTACCAATCAGATGTGGCCATGCAGTCACATGACCAGCTTGAAACTGTGGCGGGCAGAGCGGCCCAAGCGTTTCAAAGTAGCGGACGCACGGAAAGAAGACACACATGAAAACATGGCAAAGCCAGTTGTCTACGCTAGAGCTGAAGAGGATGAACAGCATTTTCCTCACATACAAAGAATGTTTCGCTTAAAGGCAAGGCAAGGCAAGGCAAATTTATTTGTATAGCACAATTCAACAACAAGGTGATTCAAAGTGCTTTACAGAGACATTAGAAACAAAAACAAATAAAAAGCATGATTTAAAATTGATTAAAACAAGCAAACAAACAAACAAACAAACAAAACAGTATATAAAATCAAAACAGATCAGAACAGTAGATAAAATCAGTAGTTAAATGTAAGTTTTGAAATTTAAGCTTAAAGTGTGGATTTGGTGCTTTATTCAAATGCAGCTGAGAACAGGTGAGTCTTCAACCTGGATTTAAATAAACTGAGTGTTTCAGCTGATCTGAGGCTTTCTGGGAGTTTGTTCCAGATATAAGGAGCATAAAAGCTGAATGCAGCTTCTCCGTGTCTGGTTCTGACTCTGGGAACTGATAAAAGACCGGATCCAGATGACCTGAGGGATCTGGAAGGTTCATACTGGGTCAGGAGGTCACTGATGTATTTTGGTCCTAAACCATTCAGAGCTTTATAGACCAGCATCAGAACTTTAAAGTCTATCCTCTGATGGACAGGCAGCCAGTGTAAAGACCTCAGAGCTGGACTGATGTGGTCCACTTTTTTGGTCTTAGTGAGGACTCGAGCAGCAGAGTTCTGAATGAGCTGTAGTTGTCTGACTGATTTTTTAGGTAGACCTGTAAAGATGCTGTTACAGTAATCAAGCCTACTAAAGATGAATGCATGGACTAGTTTTTCCAGGTCCTGTTGAGACATCAGATCTTTTATCCTTGAAATATTCTTGAGGTGATAGTAAGCTGACTTTGTTATTGTCTTAATGTGTTTTTCTAAGTTTAGGTCTGCATCCATCACTACACCCAAATTTCTCGCCTGGTTTGTGGTTTTTAGATGTATAGATTGAAGTTCTCTGGTGACCTGTAATCGTTTTTCTTTGGCGCCAAAGACTATTACCTCAGTTTGTTTTTGTTTAGCTGGAGAAAATTGTACGGGGCCTCGGTCTCCTGGTGACATTGTGATATATATTTGTGTGTCATCTACATAGCTACGACAGTTTATTTTGTTGTTCTTTATAATCTGTGCCAGTGGGAACATGTAAATGTTAAACAGAAAGGGTCCCAAGATGGAACCTTGGGGAACTCCACATGTGATACTTGTCTGCTCAGATGTGAAGTTACCTATTGATACAAAGTATTTCCTGTTTTCTAAGTATGTTTTGAACCAGTTTAGTGCAGTTCCTGAGAGACCTGTCCAGTTCTCCAGTCGTTTGAGTAATATGTTGTGGTCAACTGTATCAAATGCTGCACTGAGATCCAGTAAAACTAAGACTGACATTTTTCCACTGTCTATATTCAGACATATGTCATTAAACACTTTGGTCAGAGCGGTTTCAGTGCTGTGGTTCTGTCTAAAACCTGACTGGAAGGCATCGTAGTAGTTATTCTGTTTTAAGAAGTAACTGAGCTGTTGAGAAACTGCTTTTTCAATGATCTTACTTAAAAACGGGAGATTTGAGATCGGCCTGTAGTTGTTCATTTGTGTCTTGTCAAGATTGTCCTTTTTCAGTATAGGTTTGATTACAGCAGTTTTTAGTGATTCTGGAAACACACCTGATAATAAAGAAAAGTTGACGATCTGTAACAGGTCTGACTCTAAAGTCTTTGAGACCTTTTTGAAAAAACTTGTTGGCAGGACATCTAAACAGCAAGAGGAGGAGTTCAGTTGACCT